TATTTATCTTATTAATATATCAATATATTATAATATATATATTATAGAATAGAAATTACCTTATCGTCCGTGTTAGTTTTAAAAAACGTAGAAGAAGAATCCTCACTGATTTCCGATGAACTGCAATTTAATTCTAATCTCTTGTTACTTTCTTTCAATTCTCGTAAAAATCTTTTACATTCTTCGATACTTTCGATATATTTGTCGCAACCATCGTTATTAATTATTTCCGATCGTAACGTTGCAAATTTTGCAGCATCATCCATTAATATTTTTTTCAACGAAGACGAATCGCTGTTCTTTCGTGGCAACAAAGAAAGTTGCTTCGTAACTTGTCGACACGTGTTAGATTCTAAATTTTCGCTCTTAGAAAATCCATCGAATAATTGTTGAATCTCATTTGAATTTATTTTTCTATACGATATAGATTAGATAATATTAAATTTGTTTATTTTTATTTTTATTTAACCCTTTGAGTGTGTTCTATGGACGCATATATGCGTCCAATCTGGGCTATTGTTTTATATACGTGTTTGTCAATATAAATGAAAGTATAATATAATTTTATGTTTTGTTTATTAATTATTGATTATTATTTTAAATCTTGTCATATGAAAATTATATTTAATATAAAACAACAATTTTAATTATTTAATATAAAATAATTGCTGAGCACAGAGATGTTGCAAAAAATATCGATTTATAATTTATATTATTATAGAATCTGATATTTTAATTTTATCAATTAACGTAAAAATAATAATAATAATAATACTAATAATTAATTATTCCATCCCTGCGAAATACTTTAGTTAACAATATTCAACATTCAAAAGGTTAAATATTTCTTTTCTAACATCTTTCGATTTTGTTGTTGTTGTTAACTTACTTGACAGATTCAACGCTGTTAGTTTTTAATGATTCGATCGTTAGATTTGGTTGTTGTTGATCGTTTGAAAATACTTTCGGTTTAATTTCGGACGAAACGTATCCCGTTTTTGTGTCGAATAATTCGGTCATGCGATTTAATGACGTTGAATCCAATTTGGAAGATGACGAATAGGTTTTGGACGTTGAACTAAATATATATAAAAAAAAAATACTCGTAGTATTTTTAATTTATTTTAAAAACCAAAATTTTGCAAGTTTGTTTGATTTGATTGGATGATTATTTTTATTTCGTTGATTTATTTCAACACAGCATATGTTTCATTCAAAAAATAATTACACGTAGTATTTATTTATTTATTTATTTAAAACAAATAACACAAACTTGCAAATTTGTTTGGATAAGATTAAATGATTATTATTATTATTTTTTGTATTTACTTAAGCAACATATGTTTGATCCAAGAATTACGATCGTTCGAAGTGGACAACGTTAGTCTCAAATTACGTAATTGTTTTTTTAATTTAGGATTTAAAATTTGATAAGGTAGTGGCCATGTTCCGTATTGAAGTTTATAAGTCAGTATATTGATTTTCAATTCTAAATCATCGACCTTGCAACCGACACTGTTCAGAATATATTTGCTAGGTGGAATTGTATTAACCGTCCATTTTCTTTTCATGTATAATACACGTAGTAGTAGTAACACCAGACAAATAATGCACATTGCAATGATCTTTAAACATAGTCAAATAATATTGAATTTAATATATCAAAAAAGAGATAGAATTTAATATTAAATATTTTTTTGTTTTTTTTTTTTATAAAACATAGAATTAAAATTATTTGTACAAACGAATGTGACACACGGTTTAACATTTATAACGATCGCATATTATTTCTAATAGGAAATTATTCTAAATGAAAAAAACACAAATACATATATGGGGAAATTAATAATTGAAATATGAAAAAATTAATACTTAAAGATTGTTTAAGCGTTAATTAATTAAATGTTATTATTGGTTAATCCAAAAGAAAAATAAGAAAAAAAAGATATATTAATAATTATTAATACTTAAAATAATATAATATTAGATAATATTAAATTAATATTATTATATTTGTATAAATAATTATTATTACAATGATACATTACTTTGCAAGTATACAATCCTTCCCTCCATAATGTTGCTTTAGTAGTTAAACAATCAACAACATCTGTAACAACTTCCATCCAAATGTATCTCAAGATAGCACGTATACATTGTTTCCAATCGGTTTCGCAAATTATTCTAACGGGTTCTAGATTACCACCTTGATCGTAGTATAATAAATAAAATAATCTCTTTAGGTTAAGTTTTTAACATGTTAATCATTTTTCGTTTTATTTGTATGAATTTTTTGTTTGTTTCACTTACCTGGTTGCCAACGCATTATCGATGTTTTATAATATTCTCGTGGAGAAGCTTTTATCCTAAATGGACAATACCTTTCCACCACGAGATTATTATTTATTGTAAAATTAGATATTTATAATCATGTCATAGCAGATCTTTTATACGATATGTGACAAAAATCGAATAAATCCTAGTTGTTGTTGTTGTTGTTGTTGTTGACGATACTAGTAACGGTGTTTTGTTTTTGTTATATATTAATATAATATAGAATTTTTTTTCTTTCCTTTTTGTGATCTCTGATTCATGCTAAATTTTTATTTTTTTCCCAGTTAGTTCATTTCAAACATTTCATTATACCTAACATTATTTTGAATCTTTTATTTATTTGAGAATTACGAATTAATTCTTGGTGATACTTTCAAGAAGAATTTAATCATATATATGTATGTGTGTGTACATAATTTGCTATTAAGGTGAGCCAAAAGTATGTTCATTTTTAAATAAATATTTGTAAAATAAATATTTTACAAAAACAATCCATTATACAATTTATATATATAACACAATAAACGCACGAACTTTTGCTTCACCCTAATTAATAATATTATTAAATAAAACATTTGTGTGAATTTATTGGTAAATTAATTTTCTTTTTTGTTTTTGTTTTTTTCTCTCTCTTTAGGTACTCGGCAAGGTGCCAACTATTTCAATTGACAAGACGGACGGTTGTCAAATGTATTTGAATTCTGAATCATTGGACGTCGAATTAATAACAAGCAAGTCTAGCGAAATGAACGTCATGGTGCCGAAAGGGAATGGAGATTACGTAAGAATTTTTATATAATTCTTTATACAAAATAATTAAACTTATATTAATCCTTTTGCAATTTTGTTTGTTTTTTTTTTGCGTATACATTGAGTCGTTGGGTTAACAATAAAAATATTTCAAATAAATGTGTTCAAACAATCGTTCATCATCATCTTAAGGAATTCATTTTCACGAGTTAATAAAATAATACTGAAATTTTTCGATCGTCAAAAATAATATTCATATATATATATATTTTGTTATATTAATTATTTAGAATTAAAAAAAGTTACATTTTATAATTTATTATTTACAGACGGAGTATCCTGTTCCAGAACAATTTAAGACTACCATCAGTCCAAAAGGCCTCAGCACAATTGCAATCGATTCGCTTGGTTAAACAAAAAAAAAAACAAAAAAAAAACAAAAAAAAACCCTAATTAAATACTACTAATCGTAGCCTAAAATATCTTTCTAACAAGTACGATTCACATTAGAGGTATATCATCGTTAAGGAAATCATCAATTTATTATTATTATTTATTGTCTTCTCGAATAAGATATGGTCGAAAGTTATGATGACGACGCCGACGATGATGATGATGATGATGATGATGATGATGATGATGATGATGATGATGATGATGATGATGATGATGATGATGATGATTAGTCGAGTTAAAAAGGATCGAGAACTCGTAAAAAAAAAAAACAAAACAAAACGCGCGCTACGAATTGATTTCAATCCTATATAACAATTAGGATTAATAATCCTTTCTTCTTCCTTTCTTCGACCCACGTGAGAGAAAGAGAGAGAGAGAGAGAGAGAGTGAGAGAGAGAGAGAGAGAGAGAGAGAAACTAGTTAATAGATAAATTCTCATTTAAAACAAAAAAAAAAAATAAAATAAAAATAAAAATTAAAGATTAACAAGAAAAGAAATCCTTCTAAAACAAAAAATTATTAAAAAAAAAAAAACTTGTGAAAAGAGCTGCCACGTCATTGTATGCAGCCCTGTGTGTGTGTGTGTGTGTGTGTTTCATTTAAAGAAAAATAAGAACAAAAAACAAAATGGAAGACGAAAGATGTTGAAATATTTGACTCTCTTATTATTCGAAATTTAATGGTAATGTGGTAGAAAAAAAAGGAAAAATCAAAAAGAGATGAATTCATTTAAACAATTAGTCAGATTTGGAATCGAGGACTCGATAAAGTATTTACAGATAATGATGAAATGATGATGATGATGATGATGATAATGATAATGATGATGACTACGTGATAATATAGGAATGCTGCTCGAGATGAAATTTCAAGTTAGGTGTGGACAAAAGTTGTTAGTAATCTTCGATCAGCACTTTTATACATTTACACAATTTTATATAACGGTAATGATGAAACTTTTGTCCAGACCGAACGCGTACAAAGTTCGAATATTTATTATTAGCAACGGGGAATTGTTAAAACACATATAACACAACCATTTAATTTAGGAGTGAGCTTGTATCGCGCGTTAGAAATATTTCTTAATACATACATACATACATACATACATACATACATAAATTAATAATAACAAAAAAAGAAAAAAAAATAATTCGAAGCGTGCGTATTGAAATAGTTTGGTGATATATTAAGTTGATATAATAATGCATCCTTCAACATGTTTCCTTTTTCAAGCCCCATTATAAAAAGTTTCGTTCAATCACCGGGTTGACATGTTCTTCCTTCGAGCGTATATATTAAAATATATATTATATAATATATATATATATACACTCTCACTCCTTACGTTTCCTCATACTCTATCGAAAATCAAAAAAACAAAACAAAATGAAAGAAGAAAGAAAGAAAGAAGGAAAATGTTAATAATACATTTTGATTAATTGTAATTTCTTTTTGTTCAATTATATAATTTGAACGCTTCCTTTGATTAACTATGTAAATAAGTGAACGATAACGCGTTAGTTAAAAATCTCATGTGGTACGGTGATGACGATGATGATGATGATGATGATGATGATGATGATGATGATGATGGGTTTGTTCGATCCTGAAGAAGAATATGTCTTTTAGCAGAGCGCATAAAAGAAATAAGAACAAGATTTTAATTAATTGATCAATTAATTAAAAGAACGAAACAAGAAAAAACAAAAAAAAAACGGTGTGTTGTTTATCGTGATACAAATTGCAATTGTGATTTTTACCAATCGGTATAATAATATGTTAATCATAAGTGTAAGTTAATCGTCAGTCATTAATTGTCTAAGCGTAATATAGTTTAGATGACAACTCTCATCAGTTTTCAATGTTTAGATTCGCTAAAGTAAAAATTTCTGTCGACTAATTCGATAAGAAGTAAAATCAACTTTTATTCAAAGTTTTCTTCAATACTAATGGATACTTATTCAATTTCTCTATTACTTGTCTCTTGGTAATTCGTCGATTAAAATAAATGTTTCATTATTTAAAATATGAAGAAATAACGAAAAAGAACAAACAAACAAAAGAAAAGAAAAGAAAGTAAGAAAAACGGAGTATGACATATTGAGATTAATTTCTTTTAATGAATCGTACATATATTTACATATTAAAAAAAAAAAAAGGGGGGGGTAGGATTAACCCTTATTATTATATCATAGATATCATTTCGATTTTTTATTATAACAGGACGTCGTATTACGTAATATATGCTATTTAACACAGCGTTTTAATAATAGTAATTAAAAAAAGAGAAGAATTATATCGAACCGTGTTGTATAAAAACATGTCGTGACTATGTGTATTTTTACGTTCTTATTGTATAAGAGTACGAGAAAAGAAATCAAATAATAATACATTCGCGCTTTAACTACTTACTAACTACTCTCTTGTGTGAAACAAAAAAAAAAACACACACACACTCTCTTATAATATTTATAAATTAATCTATGCAACAAAAGAGAAGAAAAAAATAACACGTAAAAACAAAAAAAAAAAAAATAACGCAATTACATTTCTGCTTTTAAATATCTTATCCAAGTTTTGATCGGATATAATATTATTATTATTATTATTATTATTATTATTATTATTATTAATATTATTATTATTATTATTATCATCATCGAGAGTACTCTTAGTCGTACTCTTTTTCTCTCGCATAATAATATAATTATTCTTTCAGATGATAAATGCTCGCAAGATGTTTCGCTGTTTTATCGCAATAAAAAAAAAAAAGAAAAAAAAAAAAAATCAGTCTTATCAAAATAGGAAAAGTTTCTTGTAGTAGAAATACATTTATTCTTCTGTCTTAAATGTTTCTATTCTTCAATTATTATCATTATTATTATTATTATTATTATTATTATTATTATTATTATAATTGTGTAATTATTATTATAATTATTAATTTAATTTTCATTATAGCACAATATGGTTCCCAAATTTTTACGATTATCGGTGCACCCTTTGTTGAATCCCATATTTTTTCGGGTTAAGATTAAAAATAAATAAATAAATGAAATTTTAGTTCGACTAATTATAATAATTAATTGAGATTTACAAATCAGCTGGTGATCGTAAGACACATTTTTATCCAACCATCTATTTGTTTATTCTCATTTAATTTTGCAAGCCAATTATTTGGGTTTTATCGTAACCATTTCCGAAAATTTAGTTTCGTTGAAAGGGTTCTGGGTTTTTTTTAGGAACCATTGCCCTAAGGAGGTCACGTTTTTTTTTTTCTCTCTCTCTCTCTGTCTCGTTTTTATTTTAAATTTATATTCTATATATACAAAATTTAAATCTTATTAAAGGAAAAAAAAAACAATCATAACTATTTGAATTAGTGTAATAATAGTAAATTCGAATAACGCGAACTCCAATGAGTTTTCACAACGAGTACCACGAATTCTTAATTGTCTAATCGATATCTAATCGATTCGTTAATAAATAACTTTACGATTATCTCTAAACTTTATAATTTGGTTTAGAAATACGAAAGTTATTTATCTATCTATATTATTATTATTATTAATATTATTATTATTACTATTATTGATTAATTAATTAATTAATTTCTCTGACAAAAAAATTACAATTGACAATTACAGTTAAAATGCAATCGTTTTTAACCCTTTTAGTGCTAAATTCATTTACAACGGTATATGGAAACATAAATACCGAGGAGGGTTGATTATATGGCACTAAAAAAGGGTTAGGTGTAGTAAATTATCGATAGAAATTATTTTTTTATTTTTTTTTTTCTCTCCTTCTCACTTTGTTAATATCTTACAAGATACACCACCCAACAAAAAATTTAGGTCTATCACTGGTATGTTTTTTTGTTAATTTTTTTCTTTTTTTTCTTAATAATATATTTCAAATAATTTGCAATTACTCGTGTTTAAACGTATCGTCGAATAAATGCAAAGTAATATTGTTCAATTTTCGTATATCCTTTGGATCGAATTTTTGCAAATATAATAAATTTCAAAAATCGCACGAAGGATACGAACGAAAAAAAAAAACAAAGGGGGGAGAAAAAATTCTAACGTAATATATAAATACGTGTGTGTGTGTGTGTGTGTGTCAGTCTTTTCTTTTTCTTTTTTTTTTTTATCTTTTTTCTTTATCGTAAATTCGTAACGCAATCGCGTTCGTCGCTGCCATCGGAACATTCGAGGAATCCATTGCATATTCTTGATTTCGGTAAACATTCGCCCAAAGGACATCTGTGTCCTTTACAGGATGCTATAATAGATGGTACGTTATTATAAGAATTAATAACACGTTCGATGTACGATAAATAATGATAAACTTTCGTATAAACCCCAGGTCTTCCTGGTCTTGCACAGCCATAACCGTTCGAAGTGATACCTAAATAAATGAAATACAATAATGATTTAACACAAATTTTTTCAACGAAGATTTATTTTAACGCTAGATTTACGGATATTCTTTTTTTCTTTTTTATTATTATTTTAATGACTTATAAAACATTGTTTGAATGAAGGATTGACTAGACATATACGTAAATTAATGTTTACGTATATTTCATTACGTAATTAAAAACCAACATATATTTTTAAGAAAATAATATTTGAGTTATATATATGATTATAATATAATTAAAAAATAATATTTAAAAAAATTATATATATTATAATATTATTAAAAAATAATATTTGAGTTTACTTATAACTTTAATTACTATATATATATAAATATAAATTTTTAAAATGAATCAAATTGGTTCAGTCCGTAAATCTAATGTTAAGGCTTTTTTTTAATATTTTTATTTTACCATGAATGGTATATTTATTGTCCGATCCAGAACAAACTAAAGGACCACCGCTGTCGCCCAAACACGCATCCCTTCCGCCATCTTTTAATCCAGCACACAACATTCCAGATGTTATTCTGTACAACGGTAAGAAAATAGTTTTCCTTCGACATTCCTCAGTTGATATCAAAGGTAATTGAACCTCTTGCAAAGTATCAGCTGTCGATGATATCAAGAAAAAATATATTTAAATTTTGTTACCAACATGATTTAGAATATTTATAAAAAGTATGTTAAGTTAAAAAAAAAACAAAACTTACGAAATATTCTACCGATCTCAAACAATTGTCCCCAACCGGTTACGGTACAAGTTGTACCACTTTTAGGTTCGTTTTGTGGAAGGCATACTGGTCTCACATAATCGCTAAATGTAACCGATTTTTCCAATCTGAGTAATGCTATATCGTTAATGAATCCATTGTCAATATAATCCGGATGAAGAACAATTTGATCCAATCGTAATAATTGTTCGTGCGGACTTGGAAAACTTCCTCTTCTTGTAGCACCTATTCTAGCAACCCAATACTCGTCGAGTGTACTAAAACATTATTTTTATCATTTTTATGTTTTTAATTTTTTCTATGAATACGGACAAAAGAAAAATAAATCTAAAAATTTGTATTTTCTTTTTCTTAGTTATCGTGTTCGTTCTATTTCTTTTCTTTAAGAGATATTTGTTTATATACACTTTTTAAAAATATAACGAAACAATTGATAAACTTATCGTTGAAAAATGTACTTTTGAAATACCTATTGTTGACAAATCCGTGCGGATAGGTCAATGAGAAATTGTCATGACAACTTACCGATAAAAACAGTGGGCCGCTGAGAGTACCCATTTGTCATTGATAAGTGCACCTCCGCATTGATAATCCCCTTCTTTGTAAAGTGCTACTTGCCAAGGCCAACTTCCAGCCGATGAACTACCGCCCCCAACAATTCTGTAACGTCGTGAAACGTTAAATCTGTTTAAATGAAATTCAATTGGTGTATACGTGAAACCTGATTTGAAATATTTCATGTATTATTGATATGCGAATAACACGAACGAAGATACATCTAAGAAGTTTTCACTTCTTTCGGTATATAATTATAGACAAAAACAAAAGAAACTGGTTCACGTATAATATATACCTGGCCTGCGATGGGGTTTGAGTCCTTATTCCACATTCTAAATTTTTACACTTGACCTTGAGGATCTCTCCGCTCGGACAGTTGGACGGTTTGAAGGTCAACGCGGTTTTGTCAGATGGTTTATCATCGTTGAACGACAATACGTAATAAGAATTGCCGATCGATGGATTTTCGTCGAAAACTTTTTCTACTTTTTCGTAATCTCTGAAAATTACAAAGAAACAAATATAAAATTAATTATTTCGATCATTATATTTTGTTAAAAGAAGAACAAAATCATCGAAACTTACTGATAAGTGATCGCTTTGCAAACTGCCCTAGCAAGATCCTCGATGCTCCAATTAGTTTGTCGTTCTTGATCATAATTATTAGTCGTATTTAAACAAAGTTTACCCCACTTTCCATTTTTTCTAATATTCAAATAACCTTTATCGTTGTAACCATTGAGTTCCTTTTCAAATCCATTGACGGAGCTGGTAATCGGAGAATTTCCTTTAGCGTGATAGGACGTACCACCGTTAAGATTGTTTCTCAAATTCGACGATATTTCTCTTCCCGATATTAGATAAGTTAAATTAGTTGATTCGTCTGGTAATATAGTCGTTTCTACAACAGTCTCGTAAGTTTCTTTGTTTAGGGAATCAGGTATGGTAGATGTTTTCGATAACGTGGATTCTACAGCTTCTTGATCGTACACTGGGACATCATCAAGACCGGTTTCCATATCAAACGAATAATCTTCTGACTTGTTGATGATCATATCATCGTCTCCTTCATTTTGATTACCCAATAGGATGGTTTTATTATTTTTAAAGGCGTCAGTTACTTGTTCGATATTATAATCATCGATATAATCCTCAATCAATGCAGCACATTTTTTTTCATCTTCTCCTGTAGGACAGTCTTGGAAACCATCGCAAACCTTGTTCTGATCCACGCAGTATCTGCTGTTACCGCAAACGAACTGACCCTCGACACACCAATCTGTCAACACGGAAATGAGACAGTTTTGTAATTCTTGATTTTACATATTTGTAATCGTATTTATAGGTTATTTATTTATTTGTTTGTTTGTTTGTTTTTTTTTGTTTTGTTTAGAGCAGTTAATCACCGCAATCAGTTTCGTCGGAATAATCCCAACAGTCCGGTGTACCGTCGCATATCTTTTGATGTAGTAATTGGGCCTTTAAAAAATCAGCGCAGGTACAATTGGCCTCGTCTTCTGAATGTTTACATTCGCCTAACATATTGCATCTAGCACTGGATGGCAAACATTTGCCGTCGTTGCACCGGAACCCGGCCCCCCCTTGACAGTTATCTGTGAAAAATATATATATATACGATGCTCATCAATCATCATTCGGTTGGTATCCTTAAGAATGATAGAAGAAGATCTTTTAAAATTAATCGTCGTAATAATTCGTTATCAATTATTATTTACCAGATATTGAATCGGGATATTTTTCTGTCGTAAGATTTTTTGTTTCGTGATCATTTGAAAAACCATCGTCGTCCATCTTGTTCATTATCTTCGTTAAAATCCTTACGCCGTCACGGCTCAACGTGAACAAAGAACTGTCATTTTTCAAGGTTTCATTTCCGACTGCTACGTCGGCGATTTTTTTTAACTCGTCAAAATGTGATATCAATTTGCTATCATCCGATTGCAATTGATCTCGCGAATCGAAATTTTTCATAGAAAGATCCGACGAATTTTGGATTATTTTTAGGTCAGGTTTGTTGTCGTGCGTTCTAACTTCAGCGAGTTGTTTCAATTTGTTCAAAATAAATCGATCATCTTCCAACGTTGAAATTTTTCTATCGGAAGTTAATATAGTCATTGGATCGACGTTAGGATTTTCATCCTTGAACGAACGTTTCTCTTCGTTATTTTGTAACGCCAACAATTTGTCTGATTTTTTATTAGAATCTGTATGAATTATCGGCGGTGAAGTTGAATTTGTTACGACAAATCTTAGAACAACACGATCAGGATTTTCCTTAGACGATACTTTGGTACTCACTGATGTTACAACTTCGACGATTTGTTCTATACGAGTATTATTTTGATCAGTAATATCGATCGTCTGATTATTCGATCGATCATCAATTAGATCTTCGTTAGAAATATTTCGATTAAGTTTATTCTTATTTATTTCTAACGCTTTGAGACCGAACAATTGTTCAAGTAACGCTGTTTCGTCTAAACGTTCAGCTGTACTTCTGACGGCAGATGGTTTTAAAGAAAATTTCGTTGATTTGTCATTATCAATTTTAGGTCTAGGTCTGACAGGTCTACCAATACCTGTATTACTTTTAACAGGTGCCAAAGTGACCAAATTTTCGACCACGTAAGCTTTCAACGTGTCGTTGTAAATTTTTTTACGGGTTCCCGGAGTAGTTGTCAAATGAGGATTAACGGGAACATCGTTGCCTCTATTTTGTGAATTAGTATTCTCAAATTCATCGGTATTATCTTGATTAGGTACGTGTTGAACCGTATCAACTACGATGAATGTAGAATTTCTCGAGACACTAGAGATTAATTTTTCCGGTATTACTTCTTTACTATCATCGTTATTCATGATTAATTTTTGTCCGTTGTTGTTGTTATTACTGGGATGTAATATTTCCGAATATATTTCAGTTGTACCGAGTTTAAGAATTTTCTCGTCGTCGATTATTTCATCGTTATTAAATTTAGTTGATACCGTTGGTTCGGTTAATTCAATTTTTTCATTTTTAACAAATGATGACTCGAAATTAGGATTATTTAAATGAATCATTTCGGTAGCTTCTTTAATATCCATCGATGTTATCCACTTATCCTGTATTTTCATTTCCTTAACGTTTTGTTCATCATCATCATGAATTTTGTCAACGATTGATGTAATTCTTGTATTTTCATTGACCGATATTAAAGGTAATCTTTTATTATCATTTTCTGTAAAGATTGCCGACGTAATCTTATCAACAGGAATGGTATGTCGAAAGGGTTTTATAGTACCAGGATTTTCAATGAGACTAGATTTAATTGCGCTACCACTTAGATCTGGACTACGATAACTCGTGTAAATTGGTCTCTGATCGACCTTCCTGTCACGTAATGCATCATTTTGATCTTTGTCTAATGCCTCGATGCCACTTAATCTACTTCTAGTTTCCAAATTTTCATCTAAATCAGGAACAGGTTCAGCTATACCTATTCCAGAAATACTATCAACTGATTCATCGTTTACAGTTATTTCAGGTTTGTTTGTTTGAAGATTCCATCTTGAAACGTTCGAATCATCTTTATTATCGTTAGTTGAATTGATTGATTCTAGTTTTTTAGATTGATCAATAATAGTCTGATAATAATGTTGTTTTACATGATCGGTTTTTGTTAATTCCCCTCCCCCCGAAGAAGTACTTAATCGTAAATCAAAAGTTTCTGATGGTAACTGACCTGACACTTCGATACTGGGTTTGTTAATAACATCAATCGTAGGTGTTGGTGCTGTAAACAGATTACCGTCATCCATCAAACCAGGTATCTTGTTTTTAAATTTTCCATTAACTCGAAAATTGACCATATCTTCGGGTACGATTCTGTCGTGTGGAAAATCAGTATCTTCTTCGTCCAAAGTGCTCATTCCTGATACGTCAATGCGCGTGTTAATGGGTTCCAAATTTTCCGATATTTTATTAGGTAATTTTGGATTGTTATCATTAATAATTTTATCCTGTACATCGTAAACCGGATTTTTAACAATAGAATCTGTATTAACTATCAATGATGATATCGTTGTATCTAATAATAATTTGAGTTCGGTGTTAACGTATTCGGGAACTATTGGTTTCCACGGTGACGTTTCAAAATCTGGTTTATGAAAATCTTGAATGATAACACTACTCGTACTAGGAATAGTACTGGACGATATTTTAATCGATGCTAATGACATTTCTTTTTGATTATCTACGATAGCAGATGTATATTCGAATTTATTCGTTGTTTTATATTTCATCGTGGTACTAGAAATCGGTTGAACGGAAGTTAATTCCAATTTGGTATTATTATCGATCCTTGAAATAATACTTTTATTCGTTATTTCGTCTAATTGCGAATCTTTGTTAACGTTCGTAATATTAGATTCGATTATTTTGTCGTTTAATTTAGTCGAATTATTTAAAGTTTCGTTTACTTTGGTTGCCTTGTAAGTACCTTGAATCGTTGGTATATTATTAAAATCAATTTCGGGCTCGTTGGATTCTATCTTTGTTAATTTAGACTTTGGTTTATTAGTGCCAGTTATCAATGGACTCGTTCTGTTTGGTCGAAGTAAACCATTTTTCGTAATCATAGCGTTCCTTTGTTGATTGCCCGTTTGTTTTTGATTCGTTGTTATATCTTGATTTATTCCTGCGTAATTACAAAAAAACAGTGTTAAAATTTTAAAAAAAAAAATTGATAAATATAATATAATATAATAAATTAAATATATAAGGATATGTGATGTGTGTATTATTATGATTTACTTACGTTTGACGTTTATACTTGCAAGATCTAATTCTAAATCTTTGAACAAAGATGACACCGAATAAGTTTCCTTAGCAATAATATCCTCGATCGTGTCTTCGATATTTGTTATTGATCTTGGTATCTTCCTTCTATCTAAATATAATCTAAAGAAAACTTTAAGAGTACCGTTCTCAAATTTATCTATAATAGTTTGTTTGTATGCTGGACTCAATACGCTTCTTCGGAATAATAATTCAAACTGAATGAAAAATAAACATACATTAGCTCCAAATTAATATATTCAATTATATATTTGCATATATATATTTAAAATCCGATAACTTACTATATTTTTGTACTTTCTTTCTTTATCCCGAAACACCATACTAGTGTTCAACTTCAACATTGGATTATACCTTTCACCTTTAATTACTCTAAAATTGCAAGTGAATCCAATGATCGCTGTGAAAGAGAATTAAACAAAAAAAGATAAAGAAAATGAAAAAGTTATTCCTCTTAGATTAATCGAATTTAAACGATAATTTGTGTGAATATATTTGGAAATATTTTTTTATTGGTATTTACAATTAAATGTTACAACGAATCGATTAATATCAAAAATCTTGAAATATAATATTTTCATCGTAATATTTTTAAATATAATAATAATAATCATTTTCAATCGGGGTATATTTAAATAAAACAAGTAATCAATCAAAATTACAATACTATTTCTATAATTGACATTTAATTATATTTATATATTTCCAATAATAAATAAAAAGTACTCACAATTTTTGGAATCGTTTCTCAATGCTGAAACACGAATAATTTTATTTTATATTTTGTTATACATCGTACACACATATAAAATATAACGTTATTATATAATAATAAATATTAAAAACGTACCACCCAACCATAATGCAAGACCAGCTATAGCAAGTACTGCTATTAATACAAGCATCGCTGAAATTATTAGCATAGCACTGCCAATTTTCCAAGTTGAATTGGCATTTTGTTTTTTAGTTGGATGCTGTGTTACCCTTGACCACGTTGATCGGGGTGGATAATAATAATCGCTCTGTAAAATGACATAATTATTTTTTAACACACACTCACACACACACATACACACAAATATTTAAACACTTAAATTTCTTACATTAAATTTCTTATTGCATAAATGGTATAATTGTTTGCTATACATACATAAAACATATATGGTAAAAAATATATTGAATATTTATTATTATATTATTTATTATTAAATTATATTTTATTAAGATTTTATTTATTTTATTTATATTTTTGAAGATGTATATTATTTGATACGTTATGGTGTAAAAATAGGATATACGTAAAGTTTAGTACGTTTAGTATTAAAACGAGACTATACTTTTCCCGAACTCGATTTTGTTACGTTATTATTCTTTTTTTATTTTTTTCCTTTCCTTTAATGTCATATATGCGTTTATATTCATCTTGTCAAGAATAAAACCAACCAAGCGTCGCGATTCAATGTCCAATAACAACGCGTGCTTGCAATAAATTCAACTCCCATGGATGGCAATTCCCCGTTAACGGTACCCACACTGCTCGCATTTTAGTCTTTGGAATCCGTGAAAAAAAAAAAAAAAAAAAAAAAAAAAAAGAGGATTAAAAAAATACTCGACGACAAAAATTCACTCAAGTTTTTACGGACTAGCGTCACATTTGTACGACGTGTGTATCTATCTCTCTCTCTCTCTCTCTCTCTGTCTCTCTTTCTTTCTTTTTTTTTTTTTGAGTAAAAAGTAATGATGGGGCCTCCCCTTTTTTCCTTGGTCACGCGAGATCATTTTTTGTCGACAATAATATACTTCATGGTATGATTTACCTATACGTTTACAATATAATATAAGTATTTTACACAAATGATATTTCAGATCGATAAAGTTTATTTTTAAAATCCGACATTATAATTCATAATTAAAAATGAAAATAATTATTATTATATATATTTCTTACTCGTATCTCAGGATAATTTTTCTACGGATTATTATTAATCATATCGAAATGTTTATTCGATTATTGTTTTTCTTGTTTAATACATATAAGAATTTTTGTTCTCGATAAAAAAGAAAATATATTTTCTTCGTGCGAAGAGATATTAAATATTGATATATAATATATAGTTTTATTAATAATAAAATATTAAATCATATCGAACAGTTGACGGGGGGAAGGGGAGACAGGAATATTCTATTTTGTTTCTAATTAAATCGTAATCTCTCTGTGTAATTATAAAAATATTAATAATAATTTTTTTTGTGGTACCAGTTCATAATATTTCGTTTGAATTTCTATGTCAAGAGGTTAATTTCTTACCGAGATTTCCAGAAAATTCATGTTGAATGATATTGCGAGTTTTTCGAGAATACCGTTTTCAACGTTAACAACCGTATATTTAATATAATATCCAGTAAAGTGACTTCACACTAACAGGTTCTTTACAAATTATATGTTATAAACATTTGGGTCGTGGTATCGTTACTAGGAAATGCGTGTGTATGTGTGTGTGTGTTTGACCGCACCGTTAATAAGATTGGGAAAATAAATCTTCTAAACGATTTAGAAATAAAAAATCAAAAAAAAAAAAAAGAAAAGAAAAACGGACAGATTGATTGAAAAGTTCCGTCATATTCAAATATATTATTTTCATATATGAATAATCTAATAAAAAAAACAAAACCCATAAAAAATTAATTTCACGAATAGATTCGACGCAACCCTGTCACGATATTAATCGTACATATGTTCAAATCTAACTAATCACATTTCAATCAAAAAATAACATTTTTATTTATTTTATAATATTATACGAGTTATCTTAAAATAATAAACCTGCAATATTATGCGATACATTGATCTCTTTTGACAAACAAAATCATAATTTCTTTTGTTTTGTTTTTTTTTTTTCTATAAAATGTACTCTCATTTTTTATTCTAAAAAATATTCTTATATAAAAATAGAATTAATAATAATAATAATAATAAAAAAAAAACAAATTTACTTTGCGTTCTACGCGTTACGTTAGAAAAAAAATTGGTACTCGCAGATATATTATATAAAACGATGATATATAATACACACACACACACACAGAACTATAGATAGAAAATTCCTTTGAGACAACGACCTAAGGGGTCGTCAAGGTCTGATAATCCAGGTAAAGTCGATGTCCTAGGAAGTAAGGTGTCATCTCGTCCGTTTCAATCGAGATTACGAATATTACGGAACCGGAGTATGTCGGGATTGCAATAGTGTGTATGTTGAATAGTGTGCTCGGTGTGTGATATTTGTCACGCTTTTCTCGCGATGCTGTAAGATTATAAACGCACCGTGTGCTATGAAATCATAGAGCCCCCCCCCATCCTCCCCTTTCCACCCGTTCCCTTCCATTCCCATCACGTGGAAAATAAGAGACGATCTTATTCTGTGAAAAATATAATAATACAAACTGCATATATATATATATATATATATATATATATATATATATATATATATATGTTACTGTCAAAGCCGGAAATCAGTCATTGCTAGTAATTCATCTGCAAAGTTGTAAAATCGCAATCTCTGATATTTCTTTGAAAAGTTTTGGTAAATATTTTTTATACTAAAAGTGAATAGATTTAAATGAAACTTATATTAAATTAAAGTACACTCTTTTATCTACGCGTAGAATACTTTGTCGAGTTATAAATTTAGCATGTAAAGTTCAGAAAATGTCAGAGAATGCAATGCTGTAAATTGAGCATCTTTGCAATTTCTTTGAAAAGTTTTGGTTAATATTTTTTATACTAGAAGTGAATAGATTTTAATGAAACTTATATTAAATTAAAGTACACTCTTTTATCTACGCGTAGAATACTTTTTCGAGTTATAAATTTAGCATGTAAAGTTCAGAAAATGTCAGAGAATGCGATGCTGCAAGTATTTCCTACTTTGCCATTTCTTTGAAAAGTTTTGGCAACTATTTTTAACATTTAGAGCAAGCGAATTTTAATGATTTTTATATTAAATTAAAGTGCACTCTTTTATCTACAAGTTGAATACTTATTTGAGTTATAAATCAATTTGCAAAGGTTCAAAAAATGGCAAAGAAAATTTGGCGGACTAGGCATTGTTCACATTGCCTAAGGCTAGGCATTGTTAGCATTGCCGGGGGTGGTTTGGAATCTAGGCCGGTAATGTGAACAATGCCTGGCCATCCGGCATTGCTCACATTGCCTAATCCGCAAACTTTTCTTTGCCATTTTATGAACTTTTGCGAATCGATTTATAACTCAAGTAAATATTCAACTTGTAGATAAAAGAGTGAACTTTAATTTAATATAAAAATCATTAAAATCCATTTGCTAAAAGTATAAAAAATATTTGCTGAAACTTTTCAAAGAAATGGCAAAGTAGGTAAAAATTTGCAGCATCGCATTCTCTGTTGTTTTATGAACCTTTGCAAATTGATTTATAATTTGATATTGTATTCTACGCGTAGACAAAAGAGCGTATTTTAATTTAATATAAAAATCATTAAAATCTATTCACTTTTAGTATAAAAAATATTTACCAAAATTTTTCAAAGAAATTGCAATGATGCACAATTTACAGCATTGCCTTTTCTGACATTTTCTGAACTTTACATGCTAAATTTATAACTCGATATGGTATTCTACGCGTAGACAAAAGAGTGTACTTTAATTTTATATAAATTTTATTAAAATCTATTTAATTTTAGTATAAAAAATATTTACCGAAACTTTTGCTAAGAAAATTGCAAAGATGCACAATTTACAACATTGCAATCTGTGATATTTCTTTGAAAAGTTTCTGTAAATATATATATATAAAGCATGATAAAGTCAAGCGAAAAAGTTGCACACAATTGTTACAAAATATATATATATATATATATAAACACCTACACACATACATTAATAAAAATACTTCCATACATTCCTATACATACATACATACATACATACATACATACATACATATATCTAGATGCACGTGTTTTGTCTCAGAATCAATGAGATGGCAAAGTTCGAAGGTTGGAAATTATTCAACTTGTAGATAAAAGAGTGCACTTGAAAAAAAATAAATTAAAATACTCCCTTACGTAAACTGTCAGAATTCTTCTGTTTCCGACTTCGTCGGAATGCTCTTTGCATTGATTAGAATGCCGAGGTAAAACTACGCGTATAATGCCATATTGATCTACCCCACCCCTATCGCAAACATCTATTGATAAAATAATAATAATAATAATAATAATCGATTGAATTAATGAATCGATTCGCGTAAATATTTTAACACTCGGTTGAGATAATAATTTTTTTAAAGAGAAAGACATAGAATGAAATGAGCTTGTAAAAATATATTGCCAAGGTCGCAAGATCGGCACGCTCGTATATGTTATTTTTTTTTTCCATTTTTTCTTTTTTTTTTTGCCACGATAAGTACCAATAACGTTTTAGTATTTATTGTATTACGTGTACGAGTGACGTAAGTGACCATCCAAGGGTCTCCCTTCCGCCCACCTACCCTCTGTTCAAAAAAGAAGGAAAGAAAGTTTGTGCGTGAGAGAGAGAGAGAGAGAGAGAGAAATAACACGTGTAAGCGTTTGAAAGAATTAATATTCGCACGAGTCAATGGCCGTCTACCAAAGATCATTGATCCTAAAGTTCCCCCTCTCCCCCTACCCCGTACACCCGCCGTACCCCCTCGCACCCTTACGAACACGATTGATTTCTTAATGAGAATAACAAAATATACATATAGATATATCAAAATTATAAATATAATAAAATAGAATAATAATTAATATAATATATATTTCGTGTTTTTGGTGATAAGAATTTAGGTATAAAGTAATTTACGAATTTTCTATATTAAAAAAAAAACTATATAATATATTAATTATTTAATAATATAAAATATTCAATCTATATATATTTTGTGTCCATCAATATTATCTATTATTAACAATAAGATGTATAATTTATTTTTATTTAACTAAAAAAGAAAAAGTAAAATAA